GGACTCAATGGAGTGGTAGGTGGTGATATGCCCCCCACATTTCCATTTGAGGTTTCACTTTCATGATCTGCCTCTGATTCTTCTATGCTTATGGTGAAAGTTTCTCCATTATCTGTCACTCCTTTTTCTTGATCATTCTGCCATGACCAGCTCTTATCTTCCTCAAATACCACATCTCTGCTAATTATAATCCTTTCTTTGATTAAGTCTAGCAGTCTGTAACCCTTTGTTCCTTCTTCATAACCAAGCATAACTTTTTTATGCACTTATCTGCTAGCTTACTTAGGTGTGGAGATGTTACATTGGCATGTGCCAGACAACCCAAAATACAAAGGTGCTCTACATTTGGTACAGTGCTCTTTCATATCAACCCTGATAAGGAGTCATCATCTCAACACTCCTAGTTTGTGCCCTATTCAAAATATACACTGAAGTTTTCACAGCCTCTCCCCACAATTTTGCAGGTATGTTTTTACTCTTTATAATGCTTATTGTCATTCCCATTACAGTTTGATTTCTCCTCTCAACCACTCCATTTGTTGAGGTGTGTATGGAGTGGTAAAATGCCTTCTAATTGCTTGTTCTTCACAGTATTTAAGAAACTTAATTGAGTTGAATCCCCCTATCTGTTCTGAAACATTTCAGTTTCTTTGACACTTCATTCTTAGTCAGTGTTTTGAACTTCTTAAATGCCTCAAAGGCCTCACTCTTGTATTTAAGAAGTGAGATCCACATGAACCTAGAAAAGTCATCTACAAGAAGCATGAAGTAGTTGTTACCTCCTGGTGTGATTGGTGATATAGGACCACATAGATCTCCATAGACTAGTTGAAGTTGCTCTTTTGCTCTGAAGGTTTCCTTATGAGGAAAAAACTTTATGTGTTGCTCTCCTACTACACACCCATCACACAGTTGATCTACTTGGGATGTGGTTGGTATTTCCTCAACCATTCTCTTAGTTGGTAACTTTCTCAAGGCTTGAAAGTTCAAATGTCCATACCTTGCATGCTAGAGCCAAGCTTGATATGAAATTCTTGCCATCAAACATACTCTTTCTGTACTAAGGAGATTTAAGGCAAAGAGTCTGTTTGGTTGTCTCTGAACATTTATGATCAGTCTGTTCTCTCTATCATAAACCTTAAGGAAGCTCTTCTAAATAATCACTCTACTTCCATCTTCATCAAGCTGACCTAAAGTAATAATATTGCATCTTAGTTTAGGTATGTATTATACATCAGATAAAACCAAATGTCCTCCATTTTTGCATTGAAAGATTACTGAGCCTAATCCATGTGTATTAATGACTGAACCATCTCCAAAACGTACCTTTCCATTTACAGTGTAATCAATTTCAGTAAATCATGGTAAAGAAATCTATAAATCTGGATACTTTGTGTGGAATCAATGAGGTTTCTGGGAGTAATAAGAATGCTTGGAAAAGTGTGGTACTAATAAAAAAACTGGAAAGTTGGCTATTTCCATTCAAGGAGCAAGGCTGGAAGTTACTGCCAAAGCTCCAGGGTAGTCAAATGTTGCAGAAACATCTGCTATCATGCTACTAGGAGACAAATCAGTGGAGAAAAATGAAAATGAGAAAACATGGACATCCCTTTTCAAGGATAATCAAGACCCCGTAAATGGCTTGAAGTTGAGGTATATCCCGCCGAAAGGCAAATCCATAGATTTTTCGGATGGGATTCTTCCTACTATGATTGAGATGTTGGGATTTTGTCTTGTTGGATGCTTTACCGGTAAATTTCCTCACCTTAAGGCAATTTATGACTTGAAAAATACTTGCGGTGTTAGTTGCCTTGTTAAATCCCATGATAAGGGGTGAGTTATTTTTAAATTTCAAAATGATAAAGATAGAACAAAAGTGTTCAATGGGGGTCCCTATACCATCCTTGGAGTGCAACTCATGCTAAAATCACTTTCGGAAGACTTTTCATTTGATGATGATGAATTTCTTAAAGTCCCCATTTGGATCAAATTTCCTAATTTACACATGAAATTATGGAATGAGGAGGCTATGGGTGAAGTGGCTTCTATTGTAGGGGTCCCACTATCTACGGACAAAATCACCCAAGATAGGAGCAATCACCACTTTGCTAGGGTTCTAATTGAAGTTGATATTTAGCAACCACCTTCGCTATCTTTTCCTATACGATTACCTTCCCATAAAGTAGTCAAACAAATGGTGGTTTATGAAACTTTCCCCAACTTTTGTTTCCATTGCCAAATGTATGAGCACCACCCATTTATTTGCAAAAAATTGGCAGCAAAAGAACGAGATGAGGCTATTGTTGAAAAGGAAGAGAAAACTTTGAAGTAGACAAAGGAAAAGAGAATATACAAATGAAGGAGAATCAAGTCGGAAGCATAGAGGATGGGGTAAGGGTTGAGGTTAGGCTAAAGTTCGGGACGACCACACCGAATGTACCGGCTGCCACGCTAGAAAACCGGATGGGGAGGATGGCACCGAAACTGAGGAATATGATGACGAGTCAAAGTGCTCAGATGAGGGGGGGGGGGGGGGGCAAAAAAATATTGATGAGTATTGGGGAATAATCCTACAATAGAGAGAGATGAAGAGAGAGAAGGAAGCTAAATCTACTCAGATTGGTTTAGGCTAATTTCTGATGAATGTTTTGCAGATTTCAGAAGAATAGGGAGGGAAAGACACCTTAAAGAAAGGGGTTGAATTAATTAATTAATTTTATTTTTGTGTTAGTTTTATGTTTGAACCCTTTGATGACTTTCTGATTAGGTTTGATATGGGGCATGTCCCATTATTTTGTGATGCATTATACGAAGTATTTAGGTTAGAGTTCTCTAACTTAGATAGTCATTTAGATTTGGTGTAAATGTGTGATACATTGTAAAATGTTATTTTTGGGTGCTTTATATATATTTACAGCGCATATCAAAATTGAGAAAACCTGAGTCAAAACGAGTCTTAACCACAACGGAAACTTAGATGGAAAGTGATATAGACATCTCAATTCAAAATCATAATTAAGAGAAAGTTAAATTTAATAATCTAGGTGTGACAGTAATGCCAAAAGTACAGTAAAGGTTTCCATCAATGAGACACTTAATCACTATACTCAACGACGTGTTTTGAATTTGGGGTTGCGATGGTTTTTGAATTTGGGTATTAGGAAGATGACTCTTCTTAAAAGTCTATGTTTTATAAACCGGACTGGACCGGGTGAATCCGAAATCCAGACTATTTGCAAATTTCGTACTGGATGGAATCGATCCCAGTGCCCTATGAAAGAGTACATGAGGCAATCCAACTTACCAATGTGTCTTCCTCAAAGGGAGAGCAATTCTTTAGTTGATATTATACCCATTTTATATTGAGTATAAGTTAACATTCAGAAAATGAAAGAATAAAAAGAGTGAAGAAATTGCTTATGAACCTAAATTGTATGTGTCTAAAAGTTAGTAAGGGATTAATATTATAGGTCCATTGAGTCGTTGAGCATCTACAATGGTTAATTATATATATTGTAGTTTCACTTGTCATGTGAGGCTGTCAGCTACTTTTGACTAACCTATTTTCCAGATGTGAGACTCCAATGGTTAGTTATAATGTTTGCTTCATGAATAGACGCCACAAATTAACCAATTTTACATATATAACATTTTTATTGATTAATTTCTTAATACAATAAAATTTTGAAATGCTTTTAAATTGAGAAAATTTCATTGATACTTTTGAACCCATAATTAATTAGTGTTATTATTACTATGTATTACTAGTATTATTCTTTAAAATATGAAAAGACATATTTTGAAAATGTGTAGAAAAATATGTATTTGTTACGTGAAAAAAATAGAAATAGAAATTATTAAGAAAACATAGAAACTGAAAAATATCAACTCCAAAAAATTAAACATTTCCTAAAATCAACAAAGCTAGTGCTATGGTTTTAGTTTTTTACCATTGCATTTCAATATCGTAGCGTTAAAGTTGAATTTTAATTAATTGAATATATTAAATACTTAAAAAAATTAAATATATTTGGTAATTATCATTCTAGTTTAAACTTGTCTCCATTTAACAAGTAGTTTGTATGGACTAATTTGTTTGCTCAAGCTAGGAGAAAAAAATGTATTCCAATGATAGATTAGTAACTTTAATATTTTTGAAAATTGAAAGCAAGTCCGTAATTGTAACTATTGTAGATGCTTTTATCTAGTTTACATTTGAAAAAACTTTGAAAAGTGAGAAAAGGACATTACGTTTAAATTTTAGTCAATTTGTGAAAAATAGACTAAGATATACAAATGAAAAGGGATGTTTGTTAAAGAAGTTTTGGCATTATTTGATAGTGAAAAAAGTACAAATATAAACATTTGAATTTATCATTTTGAAAAATTTATTGATTAAGGATAATTTTAATAGTACAAATTTTGTAAAATCATTGATCGATTCATGTTATCCAACCTCAAAATCTTTTGGGATTAAGGCTTGGATGTTATTGTGGTTGTTGAAGGATAACTTTACTTGGACTAAAATTTGTTGGTCTGATTTAATCTGGTCTGATCTGAATTGGTATAGTTTGATCTGGTCTCATCTGATAAATGTCTATCTATAACTTTCCAAGTCTATCTATCAATCCTATCTTTCAAAGGCTGTCAAGTTCCACAACAGATTCAACAGATCGATCTCTGCGGAACTTGGAATTCCTTCAAAAAAAATCAACCGTTAATGTAATTTTCATTTTTTATTTTATTTTTTTGATTAATTTCTCTCGTACTCTCAAATTTCATCACAAATGAGACCAGATCAAACCTTTAATCTATTTTAATAAATTAGGAGGGTGTTCCCTGGCACCCCCACCTAGTATGGTTTGATTCAAGGATTAAGAGCATGGCCCAGGAAACACAGGCACACAGTCCACTGGGCCGCCAACAAAAGCTACATTCAGTCCATTTCTTCCCGACAAGACATGAACCTCGAAAGACCATAACATAGTCAACAGACCAGTGAGACCACGTGGCGCGTGCTGGTAACCGCTAATTGTGGCTACAAAAACTGAAACTTTTCTTTTTGTAAGAAAAAATAACTCCTTCCTTCACAGAAACAGCAAAAAGCTTCCATTTTTGCACATCAAACCGATAATTCGCGAGAGATAATCGGAGCAGAATGAACATTTTCCGGCTAGCCGGCGATATGACTCACCTCCTCAGTATCATACTCCTCCTCCTCAAAATTCGCACCATGAAATCATGCGCAGGTACATTTGATTAATTGCGGGTTATTGATTCTATACTTCTATATATCATTTCATTTTTCATTTGCCTTTTCTTTCATTTCTTCCCACTCTTAAATTCGAATTTGTAAAAATTATCCAACTTGCAGAAAAGGGTATTAATATATTAGGAGTTGTTCTGTGAAATGCTGATAACCTGATTGTGATCTTGAATAGAGTATACAGCTAAGGATATTCGAACTTGCAAGTTCTGAAGGTGTCCGAGTGGAGTGCACATCCTTGAACTGTATAACATTTTGAATTATCACAAACAAGAGAAATTGGGAATCTGGTGTATTAACCATTTTTTCATTTGATATGAAATACTACCTCCGTTCTTAAATAGATGCAAAACATTGAATTTTATACTTGTTCACGTGCTCTACTTTGACTATGTTTTATTTGTTAATGTATTAGGAATTTAATTTTTGAAAAATATTGTTAAATTACTCTCTTTTTAATTTTTCAAAATCTGAATGTTTTACTTATTTACTAATAAAGAATGAAAATGTATCAATGGTCAAAGTTTTGCGGTGGCAAACATGAAAATGGAAATGTTGCAGCTAAAAAAGAATGGAGGAAGTATTTGTTAAAATGTAGTTTAAGTTTTATTCTTTGTGTTCTCCTTTGTTTGGCTTGCCATCAAAGTTATAAAAAGAGGTAGGCTAAACACTATTGCGGAGGAAGAGTAGGGATTAACCGATTAATGTTTAGGTGGGGACTGGACTGGGTTAGGCAGAGAGCATAAGGGAGTGTTTGCAACAGCTTCTGCTTTAAAAAAAGCACTTTTGGAGTGATTTGGAAAAAGTGATTATTTGTAAAAGTTGATAGTGTTTGAGAAAAAAGTGATTTTGAAAAGTAAAAGTTGGTAGTGTTTGGTAAAATAAGTGCTTTTGGTGTATAAAAAGTGGAAAAGCACTTTTGACACGAAAGCCGAGAAAAATAAAAAATTGGTAGTGTTTGGTAAATAAGTGCTTTTTTAAGCCAAAAGCTGAGAAGTGCTTTTTTTAAAGTGGTTGCAAACCAGCCTTAAATAGAACTAGGCCGAGTAATTTTGTGGGGGTAAATGTAGATAGAAGCTGATAGGACCAGACGAGATCAATGAGGAATAGAGAAAGTAGGTTGAGAAATTTACAGAATCTGAATAAATTTCCCAAATGTTGCAGTCCGTATGGAGAGGACCAGGCTCCTTACAATATGATAATGCATACTATATGTCTATTTAGGAGTATTTATAATAACTATAATGCAATAAAGTAGTGGATTACAGGTTATGCCTGTAACCACTCCCGTAATGACAGAATAATAGGATATTGGTCATCCCCATAACCACTCCCACTAATGCTAAAAAATAGGAACAACTTCAACTGCTTCCCAATGGTAGTTTCTTCCTGCGAGAGTAGGTCTTCAGTGGTCTATCAGAAGCCTACCGTTTAGGTGAGGACTATGCGGGGAGTGTTTTTAGAGCATCTTTAATGCTACACCTTTAACATTGATTAAATTTTGACACATGGCAATCAATAAATGGAATAGTCATCCACCTCATATTCCATTTACGTAGAAAGACGTTGAAATCCAAAAAACATTTCCAATGGTTAATGTCATGCGTCCAAATTAAATGTCTTCCAGATGAATTTTAGGCGAGGTGGAATGAGAGTGGGGGTGTGGGACAATGATGTTTTTTAGGCGGTTAGGTTTATTTATCGGTTGAATAATTATTATTTGCTCCAAATTGGCTGACCTAGCATGTAGAGGGCACTGTTATTATAGCACAGTGATATTAACAGAGTCTACATCAAAATTTAACACGTCGGCAATTTATTCATCTACACAGCATGCGTTGGAGACCAAATTCTAGGCCGAATGTTAAATAAGGATGACTTGGCATATTTTTTAATGTCAACAATACGCCTATTGGAGATGCTCTTAGAGCACATCTTTCCATATTCGAAAAGCTTGATTCGTTCATTTTTATGATGTGAGTTTGGCTTTTTTTAGCGTGGGCTGCATTTTTTTCCAGGGATTTCGTTGAAGACTCAAGAACTTTATGTTATGGTCTTTCTCACTCGATACCTGGACCTATTTACCAGATATTACTCCTTCTACAACACTATAATGAAACTAGTATTCATTGGGACTTCAATTGGTATAGTGTGGTACATCAGGTTTCATAAAGTAGTCAAGCAAACGTACAACAAAGATCAAGATACGTTTCGGCACTATTTTCTGATTCCACCATGTTTCTTATTGGCTCTTTTGGTTAATCCTCAGTTCACTGTGATAGAGGTATGTACTGCTGATACCGTGAGTCACCTTTAGTTTAATTTTTAACTTGTTTAGGATTTTAGTCATCCCACATCCCCACATCGCGTATGTATAAAAATAAAAGGCCTGAACTTATTCCAAGGCTGAACTTTTAAAATTGAACCTGAAAATTCAAATGCAATAGGGACAAAGAGTGGTTGGGGGATATAAGTGGCAGCAGTATGCTTAGTTTTCCTTTTTCACTGATCCGTAATGATGTTTAACTATTTATTGACTCCATCTCAAACGTAACATTTATTTGCAGGTACTATGGACTTTCTCCTTGTATCTTGAAGCAATTGCAATTCTCCCGCAGTTGATATTACTGCAACGATCAAAGAACATTGATAACTTGACTGGAAAATATATATTTCTTCTAGGGTATGACACTCTGACTTCATTTATACTAAACCGCTAAATTCCTTCTCCCTAACCCAACCCCAAGAAAAGCAGTACAAATGGTTATAGCTGCATTAAGACAATCACCAATATGCACAAATTTTATGACTCATCTAAGATTCTAGTGCTGGAGGACCTTGGCGCTCACGGGTTCAAGTCTTGGGAGCGGCCTCTTGTCAAAATGACAACGGAAGGCTTTCTCCACACCCTTGTGGTGGCACCCTTCCCCGGACCCTCACCCTGCGGGGACACCAATGTACACGGTGGCTGCCCTTTTTATATCTAATATTCTTGTGCTCCCACTTAATTTGATGTTTTTGCTTGGCCACTGCTCTGTTACATGTATTTATGGTACTCCAACTGCAGTGGTCTTCTCAATTGCTTGCCCTTCCAATAAATTATGATGGGAATGTTCACAAATTTCTTTCATTCTTTGGCTATAGAACTTATCGAGCTTTTTACATCATCAACTGGATTTATCGTTTCTTTTTGGAGAATCATCAAGTTCGCTGGATTCGTAAGCCATTTATTCTCTTGTTTCTACTGCTTGTTTATCTTCCCAGCTTTTTCAATGGCATGTTTGCTTTATTGCTATTCATTTATGCAAGAATAATTATTTACTGATTTATTTATTGCTTTTTGTCAAACATAGCTTGGATATCTGGCTTTGTTCAAACTGCTCTTTATGCCGATTTCTTCTACTATTACATAAAGAGGTACATGAATCTCCCTCATCCCTTTGTACGTGTTTTTGGAGTGTATCACTAGACCCGAACTTTAGAAAACAAAACCTCAAATTTAAGGGGAAAACAAGGAACTACGTTACTACTTGTTTGCAGCAAATATATCATAATATGAGTGAACACATTCAATTCTGTATTTGAGTTGGACACTTAGACCGCTCCATTTAGCTATCACATTTTCTGCATTGATCTACGATTGGGCTGTTTGGGAATTGGGATCAATGGCATGGATAGTCCTTGCCGTTGATCGGACACTCCTGAGTTGAGATGATCATGACTGCTAGACTTCTCAGTTCTCACGATTGTGTGTCCCATATGGGATGTTCACTCTTGTCGTGGACTCACCACAGCCGCTGCCCCCTCAAAGTCTGTATGTTATTATTAGTAATAATAATAGTAGTAGTAATTTATTAACAATTACTCCGTATAAATTTATAATAATCCATTTATCTGTACTAATTAGTGGTTGTTTTTCTGCCATCAGTTGGAAGAACAATGAGAAGCTCAAGCTCCCTGCCTGACATAGTGACGTCGGTTCGAGTCAGAACTAGAAGGAAAAAGAGGGGGGAAATGCTATTCTGCATAGACTGGACACCGGACCATTACAAAACCCCGAGTTATAGGGGATCAGGGCACTGCACACCTTAACTCACCATGCTTTTGTGTGTGTTTTCTACAAATCTTTCCCTGTCACCATATATATATATGATGGGGACTTACATGTCCTGATCTTTACACTAGTATGTAGAGCAGTAACTCGCTTTTTGAGGCCTCAAGTGAAGTTCATATTTCGCTCCTTTTGGTTATAATTTTCAAAGCCAGTCACTTTACAGTTATGACTTTCTTCCCCATTTAATGCTCTTGCAAAGTTTGGTTGCATATGATAATGTTAACAGAATGATTGAATGGGTTGAATCTATTGGAATAGTGAATATAGGTATATAACTTATACTACGTATTTCAAATATATTTTATTTATAGAACAAAACAGTTATAGAGAAAAGCTAAAATTGTTTCTACAACAAATTAAGAGTGATTCAAAGCTTGCTCATTTGAATTAAGATCTTTTTAAGTTTGATATAATGATAGAGTCCCACACCGGATTAAGTCTGAAAGAATTAAACACTATATTAAGATTCGAGCTCCTTCTCCTATCAAGTTAACATTTTGGGATAGAACCTAATTAGAACCTAATATCTTAACATAAAGTTTAGTGTCATAACAAATAATTGTTGCTTAGTAAAAATCTAGTTGATAAACTAAAAATTGGGTTACCTAACATGCATATAAATTCTTTCGAACTTCAAAATCAAATTCAAATATGTTAAAAGATTGATGCATAAATTAGAGTTTAAAGAGAACGAGACTCGAATTTAAAAAAGATAAACGTTAATCAAGTACTTATATCATCAAATCGGAACAAATTAGAAAAATGTCAGTACAATTAAAACCATTAAAGTATAATGTTTATGTCTCATTTGACTTTGTCAACTTTCCAAAATCTTTTTTGTTATCTAAAAAACTTTGTCACTTCTCAATAAAAATAACAAATTTGAATTAGTGAGAACTATCAAATAGGTCCCCGTACTATAGCAAAAATGGTGATTAGACCTTTGTACTTGAAAAACACCCAATTAAGCCCTCGAACTCTTAAAAATCGATCAATTTAACATTTTAGCAGGTAACCTTCAGGTTTCCGGTTAAAAAGCCCACGTGGATTATTTTTCCTTTTTCCTTTTTTTCTCTTTCTCTTTCTTTCTTTCTTTCTTTCTTTCTTTCTTTCTTTCTTTCTTTCTTTCTTTCTTTCTTTCTTTCTTTCTTACACTCTCTTCCCTTCTCCATTCGCACACACTCGTTTCTCCATTCGCACACACCGGTTTGGTCAACCAGAGGAATTCAATTTTTTACCCCACCGCCAAGGACTTGGGCCGCCACCTCCGGGGACTTACCACCATCTTCCAGGGTTGCGACCGCCATCGCGGGAGTCGGAGTTCGTGGCCGGCCAACCATTGCCGGATTCTAGGAGTGAAGGGCGCCGACCAAGTGCCTAAATGTAGGGGTGGACTCGGGCCGGGCGGCCCGGCCCGGCCCGGTTTGGCCCGGAACCGGAACCGCCCACCGGCGGTTCGGGCTCGGGCCCAACTTTCTTGGCCCGAGGCCCGGCCGGGCCCGGGCCCGAACCGGCCCGAGTCCACCCATACCTAAATGGAGTAAAGGGCGCATGGCTGTCTAGACCAAATATGAGGCCCTAGACACTTATATAGACATTTTGTTTAAATACGTTTTTTTGAATATAATAATATAAAAATTAGAATATCAATTAAATTGAAGTAAATCACATATGATATGCATCATATACTATTAACCTAATGAGAATATTCTTTCTTTGAGAGTCGGTAAATGATTTTATGACCAAATATTTTCTTAATTTGTTCTTCATATTGTACATCTTGAATCATGTTTTCGCTTTCTTTTCATCACAAAATCTATCATATTATTGAAAATAGTACTTCCTTCGTTTCTTTTTAATTGCAACAGTCAACATTTCACGTTTGCCAACACACAAGTTTGACCATTAATATCTTTCATTCCTTATTAGTAAAAAATTTAAAAAATTCATATTTTGAAATTTTAGAATGTGAAGAATTTAACAATATTTTTTAAAAATTTAATTTATTATACATCAATTAATAAAATGTAGTTAAAGTAGAAGGTGTGAATAGTGCAAAAAGTCCAATGTTGCAACTAAAAGAGAACGGAGGTAGTACTAAATAAGTAAATGGTTCATAAATACAAATTTAATCACATATAAAAGTTTATAAGTATTCAGAGCCCGTTTGGTCACCATATTTTTCGGCTTATCAGTCAGTTTTTTCACCAAACGTAACTTTTGATTTTTTGCATTGATTTGTGCAATAATTACGTAGTATATAAATAAGATAAAAATTACTTTTTTGGCTGAGTTGACTAAATTTACTATAGAGAACCATTTAACTATTTTTTCACATAATTTTATTTATCTTATTAATAAAATAAATTTTACATATAAGTTTTTACAATTCAACAAAATCAGTCAGTGCAACCCTTCAACTAAAATTTTACCGGAGTATAAATTTTAACAAAATCAATTGATTTAGACAATTTCAGTAGCATCAAGCAGGATCTCAATATTTCAATCAATCAAAATCACAATTTGCAATTTCAAATATATCAAGATACTTATACGTAGTAATACTAAGTACAGTACCGACTAATAATAAAAAAAACTACATGTACGTAGTAAATAATACTCCGTAATAAAATAGCACAAGCAGCCTGAAAATCAACCAAATCAATACTCAATTACAGAGTAGTAAAATCAGTACTCCGTAATAAAAGTCATAATAAAATCAGTGGGAAGAGGTCTATAGAGGCCTGCACAGAAGAGAAGAAAGAAAGAGGAAAAGAGAAAGAGAAAGAGAAAAGAGAAAGATAAAAAAAGAGAAAAGAAAAAGAGAAAAGAAAGGGAAAGAAAAGAAAAAGAAATCCACATTGGCTGCCACGTGGACTGTTTAACCTCGAACTTGAAACTTACCTGCTAAAATGTTAAATTGAATGATTTTTAAGACTTCAAGGGCTCAATTGGTTGTTTTTAAAGTACAAGGGCCTAATTGCTATTTTCCCTATAGTATGAGAGTCTATTTGATAGTTTTCCCATTTGAATTATGTTCATTTTATATCATCTGCACAAATTTCAACAACACAACTTTTATTTTCTTATTTCTCATCTAATTTGAAGTCGGAAAATGAGAAATTCGAGGACAGGGGTAATGTGTTCTTAATCATTAGATAACTGGGTCGGGCCTGAAAGCCCAGAAATGGGTTGGATTTCTCTCGGGCCACCCATATTCAAGCCCCCCAAATATAGGGGCTCACTGGTTCTTGCATATTTGACTGAATTTGGTCGGGGAGGAAGTAGGAGAGAAATGGCTTCGGTGGTGAAGAATGTCTTCAAGTCAATCCGGGAAAAGGGCGTCGGCAACTTTCTCAGGGAGCTCAGAGAAGAAGGCTACACGTCAGTGCTACAATTATCATGTATTAATTGTTTAATTACGATGTTTTTTGTTTCGTTTTTAAAACAAACTTGAAGCCTGAAAAGACTTTATCTAGCTTGGAGTCTAAATATGATTCTTTTTGTTTCTTTGTTTAATTCTCCATTGTTCTTTTCTATGCAAAGCGTAAGCTGAAATTCTGTATCGTCTGTTGATATGGTTCATGATCCCCAAGTGAAATTGATGTTCTGGCCTTCTGGGTGATGTTCAACAGAAGCCCATAACCACACGAATAAGTGAATAAATAAATTGTCTTTCGGAATCACCTGCATGAATATTGTGCCAGACTCTCTTAATTCTTGCCGCCATAGATAGAAGCCCTGTTCAAGTGATATGCTTAATAAGTCAGATGCGTAATTTGGATCACAGAAGAGAAATAACATTTTTTTCGTTTAATCTAATGCATTTAACCATCCATGTAGATAGCTGTTCTTGCATAGTCGGATGTAACTGTTTATGGATGGTTCTGGCTGAAACTCTTAAGCTGTTATATATTTGGGCAATCTCTAGTCTTTTAGGATTGATTCGCTGATTATCTATCTAGAAATTGGGTGTGAGCAAACATCAACCAGATCTGGTTTATCCCCTTGTGAGATTGGTTGATTTTATTTTTGATCAAGTGAAATGTAATAAATCTTAGGTACATGAAAATGATTGATTTCTTTCCTTTTATTCTCTTGATTTCCCGCAGAATGTGCTATTGCTTGCATAAACTCATCAACTAATTACATTTTCATCTGTTGCATTTTGTTTTACAGGAAGTGCTTCTTCGATGGTAACCTTCTGTGAGTGTACAGCTTTTACATTTCCAACTCATTAGCTATTATCCCATCTGATTTAAGCATTTAGCAGCAGTTAACTTGTTGTTAAAACAAGGGAAGAGTATTGGGAAATTTGCAGCATGTGAACAAACATCTGATTATTCCATTTCTTTGATATACTCTTTATGTGTGTAATAAAACTACACTTATACCAATAAAAGTAATTGTAGTACTCCATAGTGTCCTGTACTGCATATATTACCCTCATTAGTCATTATATTCCTATTCCCGAGCAATACAAGCCTTAATGTACTGAATGTCTTTTATAAGGTGAAATAGTGAAAAACATTAAATGCTTCATTAGAATACTGAAATGTCTTAATACTCTGTAAGGACCACCGGTGCCTTCCAGATTTTGATTTGTATAAATCCATCTGTGATGTTGAAAATTGAAATAGGCATAGCTTCTATAATTGCTATGTTCCTTTTATATGTACTAGTGTACTACACTGGTTTCATCTTTTTATAACACAATGGAGCACACCAAGAACACATATGAATGTGTGATCCACTACACAACCTTAACTATAGTGACTATAATGCATAGTGCACCTATAAAAATGTGCAATCCACTAATCCATTGTCCTCACCCTCTCCAAAGGAATAATTTCACCTTTGTTCTTGATGTTGATGTTTAATGAATTATTATTATTTTTGCTCATATCTTCAGGCAAACAAAGATTCACAACATTGGGGCAACACTTGTTGGCGTCGATAAGTTTGGTAACAAATACTATCAGAAGCTTGGAGACAATCAATATGGTATGAACTATGAAGCAATCAAGCAATATAACTTTTTATTTCCACTAATATTATCATGAAGTGCTCTCACCTTCAAGGCTTCACTTATTAGCAAATACTTTTCTTTGTTTCTTCTATTCTTTCCATGTACCCTTTCTATGAGGGATAACCTTCTCGCACCAGTGTACACCTTTTTTTTATCCACTCCTTGGCATTATTACGAAATACATCCCTGGCCTTTAGTTAAGAAGCCTTTACTTGGATTCTGTTGGCTTGCATCTCTCAAGTCGATCTATTTGTCTGTCTAGGTCTAACAATTTTCCTTCCCCAGAGCTGCTTTGTTTCAGCTTTCACTTCTAAAATGGGTTTTCTTGCCTTTTCCAAAGGCTAAAGTTTGTTTTTGGTTGGGATAGAACACAGATGTTACATATTTCCACAAGTGTGGCTGAGGTGAGCTGCAGTCCACTCATTTTTCGGGCCACTCTTTGTTACATAATAGTTTTGAGGGTGAAATACTGCCATCACCAAGGGCGAGTTCGTCATCGTAAGACCAGGTTCCCATACATGATAGCTTCCGCCTTTCCAGTTCTCATCCTCTGAACCCATATTGTCCTGCTGAGATGTACTAAAATCCATTCTTTGTTGATTGCAACAGTTTAACACTTTAACTTATATTGGCAAGACATGATTTTGACAATTAATATATTTAATAACTTTTTTTAAAATTTGGAATATGAAAGTTTAAATTTCAAAAAAGTTAATACTCCCTCCGCCCCAAAAAGATAAGAAAAAGTAGAATGAGTCCACTAAAATTAAAAAAGTGAAATGGTAGATAAATGGATATAGCGGGAAACAAAAAAGTTGTTGGCGTTCAGTTCAGCAAAGTGTTCAAGAATGAAGTTGTAGGATATGTGAATAGTTGAAGAAAATGTTCAGGAAACATAATAGCATTTCTTTTATAAATTAATATAAAAATATATTTAAAGTAGGATATGTGAATAGTGCAATATTGCAAACTATTTGTGTCTAATTGGGCCAAAAATATCCTAGTGAGTCAGTGCAGTGAATACTCTTCATACTTGTTTTATTTTATGACTTAATGGTGAAGCATTGGATGATTTGGATGATTGGATCATCAAATTCACAGTTCGTACCCCTAATCTTAATATTTACTAGTGGTCGTTAAACATTATAAATGTATTTATGAGCCTAATTGGGCCAACTCTATGTCCGAGTAACGGAGTACGTACTGCCAACTTGTGCATAACCTAAAAAATATTGCTGATGTATATTTCGTGAATCTTCTATTTCTCTACATATCTCTTCAAAGTTCATTTTTACGCTGATCCAATCCAATTACCACTATCATTATCATTTCATTATCATTACCCCAGTGCCGCACAAGCTCCCACCTACGGTGGGGGTAAGGGGGGGTCGGATGTACGCAGTCTTATCCCTATACTAAAGCATAGAGAGACTGTTTCCGGATGACCCATAGTGAAAATCGCGTCCAAAATTACATGGATTGACCGCTACCTCATTACAAAGAAGCGCAGTTTAGTGAGTCATTTTGCTTTATTCCATTATATTCTCAAGCCAAAAAATATCGAGTCTTTGGCTCCATTGCAAATGATGGAAAGAATCCAATTAACACTATTCATAAATATTTATGACTAGATAAGAAGCATTCAATTTAAATGATTAAATTAAATCACTAATTTCATAATTAAACCCCTAGGCGTAGTAAATTGCTATATTGCTAAGTAAAAGATGATGACGGAAATGCTTCCACCATCAAGTTTGTCCATTTTTTACTTCCACCAAATTGGTGTAGTTTCAGCCACTGAATTGGTGTGCAAGCCAGAAGCATTAAGGTGCTCAAGCTTGAAAACTTTTATGGGGGCTTTTGATTCTGGAATACTTCTACAGGGGCTTTGTGTTCAAGTCGGTTGAGATAATCAAAATAATGTGAATGTAGACAGTATCATGCCATACAGTCTCATAATGTTTAAGCTTCGTGATCATCCGGGTAATTTCAAATTACCATAACACCAGGATTGAGACCATATGCATGGTATTGTGATTGCCTTCTGTCTGTTGACTGTTGGTAGTGTGATATTGCCTTGCAAGTGTTCCAAGATTTCCCTAACACATGCACGCACTCAATCACATTTACTTATTAATATATGCACATGAGAGACAGAGTAAATTAGCCATTATAAAATAAAATATAATCAGCAACTAAACACACTTATATTGCATTTTGACAATCTTAATCAAACATTAATCTTGCATGTTCCTTGTAATGTGCACTGCATAATGTTACATAGGTAGTCTTATATTCCAATAATCCAAAGTAATATCACATTTCTTGAAAGTTTCATTACATTCAACTGAGTTAGGAATGATTGGTTAGGAAGACATAGGTGGGTGGAATATGCTCAAAAGGGTCGCTATAATGCTTCACAAGTTCCACCAGAATGGCATGGTTGGCTCCATTTCATCACTGACCACACAGGAGATGAGGCAAGTGATTAAACCCCTAGTTCTGTAGTAGGTATCAATGCCAGTCAGAATACATTTTTTTGATATGAAATGCCTGTGGTGCAGCTATTATTGCTGAAGCCAAAGAGATATGGGGTTGAACACAAAGAGAACTTCTCTGGAGAGGGCGATGAGTATATCTATCATTCCAAAGGACATTCCCTCCATCGTGGGCAAAGAGACTGGACTAGATACGAACCATGGCAGCCCACTAAGGAATAATTTTACCCTTTTCATCAGTGCATCCCACAAGAGAAGCTGCAAATAATGTATGGGCTGCAAGTTGTTTTTTCATTTCATTAATAAAAAGCTCATAGAAAGTGAAGACTTTCTTGGAAGTGCTTTTGTGGAGTATTATCATTTGTTTTCAATTAGAGTCGGAGACTTTCTTGGATTATGAATTGACTCTAGAACTCAATTGGCATATTGAATCTGTTGTGCTTAAAAATTGCATGTATATGCTGGATGCTAATGATGTGAAGGGTGCATGATCTTTAAGTTGAGAGTTTTCTCATCACTATGAGGTTTTCCTTTGTGTTTGTTAAGCACTTGGAAGTGGAGCAATTTTTTTTCACTAGGTTATTACAGTTTTTGCATTGCTCGTGCTTTTGAAAAGAGACTTATTTTACTGATTATAGAAAAGCTTAATGGTAAAAGGTGATACTGTTTAAAAATACAAATATATTAGGTTGTATTCGTGTTTGCATTGCTTATGAGAAGTGATATAGAGAAACTGCGTAAACGTTGGTAGTGTACTGGTGTTCGAAAGATAAAATTATTTTCAAAAACAAAATATTCTTTGGTGTATTACTCGAATAAAATATGATAGGAAAACCCTTATCTATTGCTTTTGTTAAACCCTTATTTATTGCTTTTGTTTTGAAGTGCTATAGCACAAGAGCACAGAAGCATCTATGAGAAATTTATTTCAGTTTTTAAGCAAAACACAAAAGCATCTCTGAAAGGGAGTAGTGAGGAGTGTGTGACTTAACTGTGATGTGTTGAAACTTCTGCCTGTTAGGAGGTAGAATAGTAGCTGGTTGACGTGTGAGCGTGCACAGTTGGATTAGGTGTTGTGACTTCTATCTGGGAACTGACAAGGTTATCTCCTAATCATATGTGATGAGTCTTGGGTCTATCTGGTTGGGCTTGGGAAGGAGAGTTTATACCTTGATCCTCATGCTCCTCCATGTCATTGAATAGTTAATCTGTTGTGACTCTGATGAGGAAATGATCATGTCATGTCATTGCTTAGAGCGTGTCTCACTTATAGTGATGCCATCATTTGTTCTACATGAGTGGGATGCCTCATTGTAGGTTGGGGGCAGGTTGATGTTGCCTCTGTTCAGTTTTTCTGATTAAGGCATCATTATCGACAACATCATCGTCATTGTTATGGTATTATCATCATCGTCATTTTCAGTAATCTTGGCGGAGCTGGACTTATTTTGGAGTTATCGTTTTTAGCCTCGCTCTCAGTATCCTCCTCGTCAGCATTGTCATTTTGATTTGCGGAGCTGGACGAGTCATCGGAAGTATCATCAGCATCGTGGTGGCCCTAAGCAGTTTGAGTTCTCTCGGAAGAATTCTCATTCTGATCATCATGGGGCCCTTATTGCGTTGGTTGTTGTGGTAGTGAGTTTCTCACTTGACCCTCACTGTCTCTCGGGGCATTCTCTTGGGGAGGTTCAGGGGGTTGATATGAGCCATGAGGAGGTTAATGTTGTGGATGTGACGATAATGGCAGACTGATGCATCGTTTGGGTCGGTTAGTTGCAGCAAGGAAATTGATATTGTCATTGGGACTAGATCAATGTCGAGCTTTGCCTTCTTCAAATATTGGAGCTTTGGGGGAACAACATTCTTATCTGATGGTCTCTGAGGAATGATTGGAGTAGTGCGGAGGAAGTAGCGAATGAGCACGAAGAACCATCTAATGTAAGGGACCGATTTCGTTTTGTTTGCGTGGTTGGGAACGTATAAAATCAAGTGATGTACTTGTTAAATGAATTGAGATGTTGGGAGAAGAGGCGAGGAGGAGAGGGAGAGAGGACAATCCAAGCAGACATGAATTCACTCAAGAATGATATCATTTTTCAGGTGGACGAGAGTATGACTTTAAAGAGAATGAAGTTGAAGGAGAGTGTGTGGACTATTGAGCACTTTTGATCTTCTTTAGTTCCAATTTTATCTGTAAATTAATGTTAACCAATCACAGACTCTTTTGAAATTAAGACTTAAATGATGTTGTTATTGTTGTATTCTTCACATGCAACAAAAAACACAATAATTGGCAATAAAATCTCATTCAGAGGAAGTTGTAAACGTTTAGTTGCAAAAATACTAGGAAAATATGTATGTATAAACCAAAATAACTTTACTAGAGCTCAGTACAATTAAATACTACTCCGTGTCTATTATATCATATTGAAAATAAATCAACTTGTAACTGCCTCAAGCGGCCATCGTCAATCTCCGGTGGCATTCGCAACTTCTGGTGACTGTTTCCGTTGCACGGTGTCGGCTTCTAAGACTGATTAACTAAGTACGACGTGTACTGCCATCCTGAAACCACAATATCATCATTATAAAGTCATCATGAAGTCATACTTCAATCATAAAGCCATCCAACCTTCATCATAACCACTTCCATATAAACATAGAAGCTCGCTCGTTTCAACTTGATCAAATCCCCGCTGCAAGCAATAGAGAGAGCAAATGATTCACGATTTCAAGACAATGTAAGTAGCCAAGAAAATTGGCGACCAGTTTAAATCGGTGGAGGCCTTTAAGACCCTATGATGAAAGGCGATCTTGACCATGAGAATGACAATGAAACTTCATTCATTCCATTGCAAACCAAGATCAATCTAAATTAACAAACTTACACTTTTTAGATTACTAATTTAATACTACACTACTACTTTTCCTACTCTAGCAATCCTGACAAGACTATAACATGGATGGGGCTTCATGAACTAGTTTAAGCATATCACTGGTTCATTTTCCAAATATTAATAAGACTACTAGAATAATGCATATTTAAGATTAATATGGCAAGAACATCAATATATAGGATTGTTGCTATCAAGTTTTCCTCTTCTAAGACACCCCACCCGCCTCAAATCTAGCACTCCAAGCTTTACGGAAAAACCATATCTTGAGAATAATCATCTCTTAGCAAATAGCTCTGATAGGCACATAGCAGCATTTATCAGCATAATACAATAAACATAAACAAAAAACTAGAACCAAATCTATATTTAGGTGACGCTTGTCCCATAGTTTGGGTGTTGGACATCCTCACACCCAACAGCACAATGTAATCCATCATAATATAAAATCAGCAACAATAACTTTCTTCTTTCAATCTTTCTATATGAAAGCCTAATTAGTTATTGATGCCCAACAAATTGCAACACAGGTAAAAGCCCAAATTGCTACATCCACAACTAAATATTTTAATAACAGAATCGTGAGGTCTGAAAGCCTAAACCACCCTTTGAACATATAAAGCTATATAAGTGTGTTTTTGCTATCTGCTATCCAATTTACTACGACGTAATTTGCAAACATGTTCATAAAAATTGCTCATTGAATTTTCAAGAAAGAAGTTCTACTTCAGCCATGACTACTTGCAGATATGTTTGGGTGCGAGAAATTTTAGAAACACACTTCGTGAGGATTTTTTGAAATGAAGTCTCAAAACCATAAAAACAGTTCTTCATGGAAAAATAATTTGGGCACAATATTCAAGACAGAAATTGGAATACAAAGTAGAAAAATAAACTAGAGAATGCTTACATAAGATCAAGCAAATACGACATCCGACCGCAGAACATATTTCACACCCTTAGTGACATTCCGTGCTTCATGCAGCATACATTTCTCCCCATGAATGTGAAAGAGAGCCATTCCTTCAGAAGGAGGAACCTGCAAAAATTGAAAAGCCTCTTTAATTATTTGAAAAGCCTCCATTAGTTAGCTACAAAATGAGGAAAATAAAGTAGCAAAAGAGAGAGAAAAACACAATGGTACCTCAGCCACCAAAGAATTTCTGGGACCATAAAATACAGTTTCTCCTCCAACAAGGGGCGATGCCAGAGAATCTAGAGCATTCCTATCAACCTTAGTTTTGGAATTGAAACCTCCCCCACTTAGATATACTAACAACGTATAGTGTGTAACTTGACCTTCACCAAGATCAACGCTTTCATCAATATGCCGTCCAAAACGTTGGCCCATCTTATACCTAGAAGGTTAAAATTATGACACCTAACTTATCCATATTATATATTGTTATAGATGTGACCAACGAAGTTATGCTGTCTAAAGCTCAAGGTATTCAAGGTGGTTACCATAGCACATAATCACATAAAAATATGTGAAATGAAACTAAGGCAATATCTTATTTTAGTTATTTATATGTATGCAACCATATTAGACATGAATTACAGAAACTCAGAAAGTATCTCATCTTAACAATGGTCGAGTATTTTCAGTATATAAAACTGATTTAGTCTGTTCATTCTGGAATGTATAAAGATGACACAGCTCAGTATGCCTAAATATATAACCATATGGGTGAAGTGCTGACTAGCAGGAAGTAGAATATCCACTCACCTGTAAAACCTAATGTTTGGGTTTAATCTCACAGCAACTTTGCCACGAATCTTAATGTCAGAAAAGAGCTTGTTAAGTCCCGATTCCCATAATGCATCAGCGAGATTGGGATCATTCATAGAGATACGATCATTATCTCTATAGGCTTCACCATTTCTTGGGCCAAGGCTCCCTTGGTGAACAAACCCAATCGACTCTGCTGCTTCAATGAATGCTCTCGCTTCAGCAGAAGTCAAGTAATTTTGCACCTTAATGCCAAAAGCAGAGGAAAACTTTCATGTAAGGAGTAAGGAAAAAAGGGAAGTACAAGTGTGAAACATCTCAAGTGTAAAGTGAAAGGAAAAACTTTCAAGTGAGATGAACTATTTGCATTAAGAAAAGAAAATACATTAATACAGATTTCTAACATAGAATCAAAAGGGAAGTACAAGTGTAAAACAGCTCAAGTCAGCAAGCTTTCATACATAAAAAATGTTTATTGAATTGCAAATATTAAGCACTTTTATGGTTTTGAATTAAAAACTTTCCACTCTTTTATAGCTTAAACATTACCCTAAAGGCTATGGTTAGTATGACCTAACCCTTCCTCAAAAGACGGTCAAGAATTTAAAATTGAGATTTAGCAGAATATCAAAATCATAGAAAGTTGTATTACAATTAGCTCAACGCAGACTCCAATCTCGAATCTCTCTCGCTTAAGAACATAAATGAAACAAAGATAACCATCCAAAACTAACCATACAGGAAGAAAAAGTTGGAGAGGATAAAAGTAGGCTTACAGTAAAGAGATCGTTTCCTTTGAGACGAGTGACCTGAAGATTGGCCTTGGGTTTAATGGATGGCAATTCTGCTTTTGTCCTCTTCGTTTTCTCGTTTCTCCTTTCTCCCATTTTTCTCTTCATCCACGCATCGGATTTGTTGTCCATTCCTATCTCATTGACAATCCTTGTTTTTTTTTTGAATGGAATTGACAATCCTTGTTGAGAAGCTTGGAGGATAGAATCCTAAACAATTCATTCCAAAATCAGAGATGTAGATGTGTGAGGATGTATTATGGAGTGTGTGGATCTGATTCTTAAGATTGTTTCTGCTCTTTAGCAAGTACTTCTGATGTTTTAATTTACTCCTAAAATTAGTTTTTTTTAAAATTAGGGGACCAGCTTTTGAAAACTAATTCTGATTCTGCTTCTGCTTTTAAAAAAAAATCCCTACTAAAACTGCACAGTTTATATATAAATAATGCAAAGTTTTAGTAGAGAATTTTTTGACTGCCTTCCCGGTTGAATTTTTAGCTGAAATTTGGTATGGATAAACTAGACTTGATGAGGAACATGGTCAAAACATTTCATCAAAAAATTCCACCGGGAAGGTCCCCAAATGGCCTCGGCCTGACGGGAACCGGCCTGATACGATCTGTCCTCTTCCTCTCAATGTAAAATTTTAAAACTTTATAAAAGTTTAGGCGTATTTAAAGTTCGGTTCATTCTTATCGACTTTTAAATGCCCCGGATCTCGTGGACTTTTAACTCATTTTTGGTATATTAATTCTCTGCAATTGTTTCTTCTCCTCACTAAATATTTCTGTGGACTTTTCTTATATCAGTTCTTCATCTCGTCCCATCCCTCCCCTCCCCCCAATTCTCCTCTTCTTTAGCCAAGTCACCCCTGCCCTTCGATCTTATTTCTTCTTCTGCCCAGCTCGCCCCCACCCCTCTCCTTCCATTCTTCTTCTTATTCTTCAGCTTGCCCCACCCCACCCCCTCGATCCCATATTGATTCTATTCTAGAAGTTTTTAGAAAAATCGATATAAGAATCGATAATATTACATCGATGCAATTCTGGTACATCGTCAATTAACCATTAACAAAATAAATATTTTAACTATTACTTTCTCTCATCGTTAAATCGTTAACACATAAAAATATAATTTCAAATTAATAAATATATAAGCGTAAATAAGTATACAAAATTTTACAAGAAAGCAATTATTAAGAAGAAAAGTTTGATTGCATGTACGCTTGTACCACATGTAGCAATGAGTGTAACACTTGTGAACGATTAATGTTCTTACTTATTAATAAAATGACCAAAATTCTTGAGAATTCTTGAAACTTTGAGTTTTTTTTAATAAAAATAAATTTGGATTCTTATGCTTCATTTATCCTTGTAGGACTCTGTGTTGCTATATGAATTACATTTGTTTCATTTATTTATTTATTTGTTTGTTTGTTTGTTTGTTTTTTATCATACTCCGAATTATACAGAGGAAATTACTCACGGTAGGACTAAAACATACTCCCTCAGTCCCTTATAAGTTATAACTTTGTCAACTTTCCTTTTTGGATGTTGCATTAACTTTGCCACTTTTCCATTTAAGTAAAGAATTTGTGGTTCCAGTTAATCTTCGTGCCGGTCAAACTTGGCAAAATTATTAGGGACGGAGGGAGTAGCATTTCTCTTTAAGTATGATCATATGTTTTATTTTCCTTAAATAGGACTAAATATTACGTATTCACCCCTAAAATAATTAATTAATTAATATTATTGATTGTCCCTAGTTGCCTTGCATACCAAAGCCATTTTGTTGGTGGCGGATCGGTCCAATGACGACAACGGGGAACTCCGGTGACGAACAGGTAGATCGGTAGCGGTGATCTAGGTGAAAATTCCGATGACCAGCAGTGGTGGTCCGCATTTAAAAGTTTATGAATTTAAAAGTCCATTGACTTTTTTAAAAGTCCATGTATTAAAAAAGTTCATCACAATCCAAATTCAATATACCATCTATGTATTTCATACACTTTATTTGTCTGCACAAATAGAGTTGTTTATATATTGAAATACAAATTAAAATATGTATTTCAATACAAGTTTTTTGTCTGTATACACAAAAAATTCATAATAAAATTCAGGAATTGTCTATATATAGACAACTTTATATGTATAGACAAACAAAGTTTGCAAAAGGTGTACACCAAACAATTTTTTCAAAATTTAGAGGGTGAAAAACATAAAAGTAGTACCTCCCTCGCGGTTTAAAATTTCTATTGAAATACAATATTTTTTTATTTGTATACACAAAATATTCATATTGAAATACAATTTTTTTGTTTGTATACACAAAAAGTTCATATTGAAATCTTTGTTCTAAAAATCGTTCTAGGCGGCCGACTAGTCCCCGCCTAGGCGCTAGGCGGTGGTCGGGCGCCCCGATTTTCGTCTAGGCGCTCCGACTAATTGGTTAGCCATCTAGGTGAATTAGTGGGCCGACTATGGCGCCTAGTTGGCCGCCTATAGCGCCTAATCGGCCGCTTAGGCCGTCTAGATTCGCCGAACATTACTTTACTATTCAATTTCAATTTTCTAAGCGATATATGTACTTTAAGTTTAGTCATGGATATAAAGAAATGAAGTTGTAAGTTAAGATAAACCTATATATGTGTGTACATATACCCAAATCTTATCATTATTTATATTTATAACATAATATAGTTAAGTGATTAGTTATCATATACTACGTATGGTTAAATGTAATAATTCTATCATTCATGGTTGTTAATGTATATGTATATGTTTTTATACACACAAAAAAACAATACTACGTATAACTTATCATATTTATGCAAAAATATTGAAAAAATGAAATTTCTATGTATCCGACTAGTACTCGACTAGCCCCCGACTAGGCGCCCGCCTAGCCGCCTAGGCGCTGGGTTGGCGCCCGACTAGCGCCTAACGCCTTTTAGAATATTTGAAATTCAGGAATTGTATATATTGAAATACAAGTTTTTTTGTCTGTATACACAAAAAACTCATATTGAAATTCATGAATTGCCTATATATAGACAACTTTATATGTATAGACAGACAAAGTTTGCAAAAGGTGTACACCAAACAATTTTTTTCAAAATTAAGAGGGTGAAAAACATAAAAGTAGTACCTCCCTCCCTGTTTAAAATTTATACTCTAAAATGATGTGAATTTTTTGACAATAATTAAATAAAGTAATTCGAATATACTTTCAGAAATAGTTAAATAGGTATATAATGTTATGGGGTCCTTAATTATAATTGTTATTTATAAATGTATTATTTTTAGATGTTAATTATTTCCTAAAATAAAAATGAGAACATTTAGTTAGGACGTCCAAAAAACTAAAAATGAGAAACTTATCTTGAAGATAGAGAGAGTAGTGTATTGATTAAATGAATATATAACTTATGGCCAAATTGAATTCTCATAAATATGTAACTTATAAGTACAAAAATTATTTTGTTGTTATAATTTTTCTTACAGGGTGTATTGTATTAGAAATAAGTGGAAATTTTTTAATGTATTCAATGTAGAGTTTAAAAAATCTAAAAAAATTAGATAGAGAATTAGCTATAAAGAATTAGCTAGAATTTTAGTCACCTCTCGTGTCACTAGATATAGAGAATTAACTAGACTTCTCATAAGATTCCTTTTTATGTACGATAGTATTTTATTAGAATGTGGAACTGTATGAGCATTTTTCGTTAATGTTTTAATATAAGTATTGGACGAAAGTAATTAGGTAGTACGTAGTATTATTTTTCATTTTTGCATGTTTTGGCACAATATTTTGTATGACACTATCGTCTCAAATGAGATGGTATTCAATGATTCTAGGTTATATCCAATGTTCTAAAAGGCGTTAGTTGGGCGCCAGTCCAGCGCCTAGTGCCTAGGCGGCTAGGCGGGAGCCTAGTCAGGGACTAGTCAGAGACAAAGAAATTGCATATTTATTTATATTTTTGCATAAATATGATAAGTAATATTGTAGTTTTGTGTGTATAAAATACATATATACATATACATTAACAAACATAAATGATAGAATTATCACATTTAATCATACATAGTATATGATAACTAATCACTTAACTTCATTATGTTATAAATATAAATATAAATAATGATGAAACTTAGGTATATATAGAAACATATATAGTTTTATCTTAATTTACAACTTCGTTTTTTTATGTCCATGGCCAAAGCTAAAGTACATATATCGCTTAGAAAATTAAAATGCAAAATTAAAGTAATGTTTGGAGAATCTAGTCGACCTAGGCGGCCGATTAGACGCTCTAGGCGGGCAACTAGGTGCCATAGGCGGCCGACTAATTCACCTAAACAGTAAACCAATTAGTCGGAGCGCCTAGACAAAAATCCGAACGTACGACCACCGCCTAGCGCCTAGGCGGAGACTAGTCGGGCGCCTAAAACGCTTTTTAGAACAGATGTTATATCTCATACCAATTTCAAATTACATGCCCTATGATAGGTTTTAAAATACACTCTATATATTATGGATATTTTAAATTTTGAGGTTGTCCGAGCCTAGAAGATCAAATCGCTTTAGGGAGTGTTTGCAATCACTTAAAAAAAGCACTTCTCAGCTTTTGGCTTAAAAAAGCACTTATTTACCAAACACTACCAATTTTTACTTTTTCTCGGCTTGCGTGTGAAAAGTGCTTTTCCCCTTTCTATTACACAAAAAGCACTTATTTTACCAAACACTATCAACTTTTACTTTTCAAAATCACTTTTTTCTTAAACACTATCAACTTTTCATACTAATCACTTTTTCCTTATATCTCCAAAAGTGCTTTTTTTAAGCAGAAGCAGTTGCAAACACTCCCTAAGTACGGGACGACTTGCATGAAAGAGAAGATGATTTGTTGAATTGTTGATCGTTTCATAAGACCCACGAGCCAGCAAACTAATAATAATGCATTTCAAGTTGTCATTATGAAATTTTACTACGGAGTATACAATAATATTAAGCTTTGATCAATTTAGCAACTTCTATAAAAAAAAAATTATTATGGTTAGTTCATGGATTAGTCAGATCATCAGCTTGTATATATATTTAAAATTTCTTTAGATACATTTTTGGAAACTAATATACTAGAAGCGTGTTTGGTAACACAGGAATTGACTGAAATTTATGAAGTTTTGTCAGAATGATTGGATTGACTGATTTTGCTTATTTATGAAAAAAATTAAAATATTT